GCAGATGCCATGAGAAGTGCTTCTACAGGGCTGTGCTATTTAACAGAGGGAGGAGAGAGGAGATGACACTTGTTCTGAGCTCCTGAGTTGAGCTAGCTCTACTCCTTGAGAAAAGGAGGAGGAAGGACCTGAGGCAAAAACATTAGATAATAAACAACTTCTCAGAGAAAGGCTAAAACACTTAATTCAAATACATCAAGTACTTCCTAACATTTCTGTTGCCTCGCAGGGTTTTAGTTACTGATACTGCCAGTGAGGGAGAAGGTCATAGCATGGCTGCAAATTTGAGTGTAGGCGTGGATACATGTCTGAATAGCTATAAGAATTTCTGTCCTTTAAGATGTAATGTATTTTATGAAAAGGGTTGGAAAACTTCTCTTCTGATGCATTAGATAATTGTGCTTTAAATGTGCTAAAGATTTTCTGTAAGAGACTTCCACAAGAGGTCCACAGACCTCTCTGTCAGGATGTTTTCCTAACACCAAGTTAAATTTTTCTTTTGCAGTTGAATTCCATTATGCTTAGTTACATCACCCTAAATAGTTCTGTTTACTTAGCGGTTACAGTCCTTAAATATCTTTAGACCATTACTGTTGACCCTTGGTTGTTTCCTAGCCAAACTGAGCTTGTTTACTTCTCCCTTGTCTTTCCCAAGTAGTCCTGTTGTCATGCCTTTGTCATTTATGTTGTTCAGTGACTCCAAAAGCTTTTCAGTAAGGAAGTGCGCAGTGCAGTTGTCATTGCCTTATCAGTACATCCTCTATTTTTATTTTTATTTTATATTTGTCTGATGTGATACACCTATGAATGCTGTCGGAACTTTTGTCCTTTAGGCATGCAAGTGCATTGAAGATACACTTCTGAGGTTTACTTTGCTATTGCACCTAAAATTTCTTTGGAATTAATACTTGTCATATGTCCTTGGTTGATTTTTTCCCTAGAGGTAAACTAACTTTCATGTTCCAGCAAGGCTCTTAATTCGCTGATGATGACAGTATTGCTAATTTGTCTGTGTCCTTTATGTAAGTTCTTTGGCCTAAGAAGTCTGTTCAACTTATTCCCTTAGAATTATGTGTAAATTATTGCCATTTTCTTTAAATTCCAAAGTTACATTTTGCCTGTGATTTTTTAAATACCCAGCCATCTGGTGCAAAACTAAGCATGTCAGTATCTTGCTGTTTATCACTTTGCCTTTACAGATTTTCAGGCAGTAGAAATTTATCAGCACTGTTCCCACCCACAACAAGTTGAGAGGGAGATTTTGTATAATCCTGATTTCAGTTGCACTGATGTAAAATAATTAATGAGAATATAAACAAAGTGCTGTGGAGTAGTGCTGATAGACAACATTGATGAAACATTATAGTGGGGTTCAGTTTAAGACACTTACATTTAGTGTTTACATATGTACAGAGACACTGGGTGTCTAAATTCCTGTATTAGTCAACAGATATTTAACTAATATACCCCAAGAGGTATGGGATTCTTATGCTGTAAGGTATTTTGTCTTGCCCACGCTGCTGCTTCGAAAGGATGAAGGGAGGCATATATTTGCCTCCCAAATATTTTGTGCCACTGTCTTCTAACACTGGGTGGGTGTCTAGGGAATCTCAAAAGGCAGGAGCTGCCTATGTTTAGGCAACTGGATTCAAAACTGAGTATCAAATTCAGGGTTAGCTATAATACTTTTTACACCATTTGTGTGTCTTCTGAAAAGTTCATGAGAGAAGACCAAGTCCAAATAAAAAGAATTATTTTTCTTGGCAAATTTAGTGCTTTCACCTTATTTGAAAGTGAACCTTCAGTCCTGAACTCGTCTGTGTCAGTTGAAAAGGGAATTTTCACTTCTGTCCCTTTTACATAAAATGTCAGCTATAGCACAGCTGTTCTTGGAGCATATGTATGTGTGTCACATACATACTCCTATTGAGGGCTTTGAGGTTAGGGAAGGAGGACTTGAGCTGACTTTAGTGCAAAAAAATTGTAGGCATTAGCATATAGATTAATGATCCATACTGCAAAAGGAGTAGTGGTACAAAGACATGCTCAGTTTTTGTGAAAGCCGGTTTTCATAATTTATAGAAGGTGTTTTTAACTTGTCCAAACAATTGCTACGTTATTTGTACCACACAGTGATTCTCATTTTTGTGACTTTCTGTGAATTTCCTTTTCAATCTTCTCTGTTACGGCTTTCCATTAAAAAAACACACTGACAATGTGTTTGATTTGCTCTGAAATCACATTACAAGATCTAGCTTTGAGCTAAGTATGCAGTTTTGTAAGCTGAAAACTCTTCTGCCATCCTTCATTCATCTCGTGAATTTTGAAATTCAGTTCAGCCAGGAAATTGTCCTCCTCTACTTCTTCCCCTACTCAGTTAAAAGGAGAAGGAAGGGAAATTGCATTTCAGAGATCTAAAATGTGGAATGAAGTTTTATTTATATAGAATTATATCCTACAGGAAGTCATACAAACTTTTTGCTTTTTTTGGAGAAGAAATAAAAGAAACTTTTAAAGGCATTTTTTGGCTTGGTGAATTGTTTCAGCTACCTGGGAGGCTTATAAGCAATCTGGGAATGCTACACCATTTACTGTTAAAGCTGATTTTGCTAGAACTGCCTTGAGCACTAAAAGTGGAATGCTTGATAAAGGATCCATGTATGACAGAGACCTAGAATTCTGTTTACTTCTAAACTAAACATTACCAGCTGGCTTGTCAGGCATCTGCTCAAACGTCTTTTGGGAAGAGGGCACAGCGAGTACTCTCTTGTATCTAACCCAGCAAATAATTTTAGCTCTGTTTATTATTCCCAGGAAGCTCTGACTGATTTAAAGAAGAAATCAGACATACACAGGGCCTTCCTTGTATTGAAAAGGTTCTATTAGCTCCTTTTTACCAGTGTGGAAATCCCCCCATTAAATTTTGTGCTAAGTTTTTAAGACTGAAACTCATTTAGAAATGGGATTATTAGTTCTTTCAGTTCAAATCAAGATCGAATTCTGGGTATTTGAAATTGGATAGTCCATTTTATGGGATTTATCAAATTTAGTTTGGGCTGCCTGTTGAAAGGTCTGAGCCAAATAGTCTCAGAGTTTTATAGGACAATTTCTCTTCTTGTTTTGTATGTTTTCTCAAAAAAAACCTCTTTGTAGCTAATTTTGTCCATTGGAGTGACGTGGTTTTAATGGAGCTAGGTAAAATTCCTATTATTCAGTTACTTGCCTCTGTTAAAGGATTCTTCTAAAGCACTTGTTAATTTTGCATAAAAGCTGGCTATCTTTGCTGTACTCATTGAATCCAATCTACCAAAACACCTCAGGCATATATTTTGGGTTCTGTAAAGGTTCTCTTGTTCTGCCAATGTTGATTTCTAGTAAAGCATTCCTGAAATTCTCTTTTCAACTCATGAATTATTTAGTATTTCTTTTTGTAGTCCCAGTCATTCAAATTATTTTTTTACTTGCATAGCCTGTTATATACCCTCAAGTTCATAGCTAAGTGCTTAGTATTGAGAATGGAATTTTTATTATTTAGAGATATTATAAAACTAGCTGCATAACGTATTAGAACATGCCTTGTTTGTTAAAGCTTATTCCTGTAACTGAAAATAAGCCTTTGAAAGTCCTATCATTTTTCAAGTATTTTTCTTGAGAGAGAGAGGAAAAAAAAAAGTGTCTACGTATGTGGGTTAATTTGGTCTTTTTATTTTCCCCCAATGGGGAATAAAACAATATGTTTGTTACATTGTCATGTAACAATTCTAAAATAACGGATTTCAGCATGAAGTCTGGAGGCTGCAAACTTCAGATGCAGAGATGAAAGCTTCTGAAAGCTGAAATCTAAATCTCAAATGTATGATTGTGATAGCAGTTACTGAAATTTGTGACCTAAAATGGCAGGGTTGTGACAACAGTTCTCTAGTAACCAGGAAGATTGTTTTTTCCTTAAATAGGTGTTTGGAAATTTGTAAATATAACTTATGAAAAGTCACAAGTCTTGGTTTCGTTTCTGTAGGGATATCAGGGA